AAAAAAAAAAAAAAAAAAAATGTGCTCACACTCTCCAAAGTTACAACTCACATTTTCATATTCTATAACCAAAAACAATCAAATACTTTTGAAACTAAAGTCTTGAACTCTTTTATAAGTTTGATATTCACACAACATTTTATTAAACATACATTCAATTTTAGGAAGCTATAACTTTTAATACATTAATAATTTATACTTGACGATGAATTAACATATTTTATAATTTTAGCCAAATGATTTATAATGTATAATTATGGAGTTTGTAAGCTAAAAAATGTGAAGGGCAAGTAAGTACTTGGAAAAGTAAATTTGGAAGGTGAGATGTTTAAAAGTATGAAAACATATTCAATAAATTGAATAGACTGACAAGTTAATTGAATGAATGTATGATCATGAATTTCATTTGATATAGTAATAAAGTATAGAAGTAGAGTACAATCTACAATGCATAGTGCAAGAAGCAACCATTAATGATATTTGATTTTCCACCCATATATCAGATTTACAATACATAGTACATACATACATATTATATATATATATATATATATATATATTTGATCATTAAATTTGCATTAAATCCCACTGAGTTGCACTTGTTTATATATATATATATATATATATGTCATTAAAACCTTTCAAATCCCGATGGCTTAAAGACAAGTAATACCTCTCCAAAACCCCATGTATTCAATCTTTGACGTTTGACCCTAAAAATACCCACATCCATATCCATATTTATATTTCTTTTATTTTGAATTAATTAATTAAATGTAACCCATAAAATTAGTAAATAAGAATGAGTTAAATGATATAAAGTTATATGTAATTAATAAACATGGAGTTAATCTCATGAAAGTAGATATCTTAATTAAAACACACAGTTTCTTGGATAAGCATAGCAAGATAATACAAACTAAAACATTAGATTATAATTAAATGATGTTATTAGCACTCCCAAATGACTTAATTCTACCCAAAAGTGACCTAAAAACTAGTACTTGATTCCATTTTTGAAGTGCTAATAACATCATATACATATATATATAGAAGTTTTGATTTTGTGTGACATATAACAAAATCAAAATCAAGAGTTAGTTCATGTGTACATGGATTGATCCCCATGCATGAGTTTAAAAGATAACACATTGTTCCAGATTTCAGTGAAGGCTCTGATGATGATTCCATGGTAGTATGGAGAATTGAGCTGCAAGAAACAGTTGAGAAGTTCTCTCAGATCTTCTCTTCCGTATATCTCTTTCTCCATTATCATCTGCAACATTGATTCCCTGAAATCCACATATGGGTCGTCGGAATCTTTCTCCACCGCCAGACTGTTGCCGCCGATCCTACCAAATCCTTGAACGGCTCTCAAGCTTCTCACTTCTGACTCGTCCACCGTCGTGTAGTCTGAGGTGTTTGGTGAGAATGTGGTTGCGGTGGTGGTGGTGGGGGTGGTGTTCCATGAGTGGTGACGGCGGTGGTTGTCGGGATAGTAGTGGGTGTGGTTTCGTTTGTATTTGTTGGGTTTTGGGTTGAAGATTTTAGAGAGGTTTATTCTCCGGCAGCCACTGCCGCAGCCGACGTCGACGGCGGTGGTGTTGAGTTTGAGTTTTTTGTGGATTGTAGGCATAGTGTTGAAGGAGTTGATACGGTGAAGCTTTCCTGTTTCTCTTTATAAATAATGCTACCTTCTTACCAACAAGTACGTGCTAACGTGACAGTCATTCATCTACTATCTTGTCACAGTCCAATCCATCCTAAGGATTTAAATAAAATTATTTTAATACTTTCTATTGAAAATGTAGATAATAAGTCTTGATATCGATGTGTATGAGCATAAATTACTAGGTAGAGATGTATTTAACAATGGGGTGTGCTAAATGCATCTCTACCCATAAATTTCTTTCTCATTCTCAACAATAACTGTTCTTTTACATTCTCAATGCATGAATATGATTTAATTCTAACATAAATTAAAGAAGTACAAAAAGTATTCCCCACTAACAAAATATATATAAATATATTGAAATGAAAAGAGAATTATGATTGTTAAGGAATAAATTTGTAGAAGCAAATGTAACTTAAAAGCTTGGTATTTGTAGTTGTAGGTAGGATTAAAACCTGAGTCAGTAGGGTTACCCCATCAAATACATAAAGTGATTTTTAAATTTAACCAATTATTTATTTTATTTTAGTAAATAAAAAAATGAAAATGAAAATGAAAATGTGGAAGTAGGCAATTAAAATACATGTAAATTAGTTTATTAAAATAATAAGGGTATAATTGGAAGAGTTTGGAAGCTGGCATGACAGTATGTCATTAATTTTGTGTTTAATATTATAATTATAAATATAAATTAAATAAATAAGAAATAAGAACCCATATAAACCGGCTGATTTAACTCCGACGGATCCCAGATTCCACCGGATAACATCAATTTCATACACTCCTGACTCCACTTGCTTCCTATTTTTAATTACATAAAAAGAGACGTTTCTGGCTTTTATATTTCTATAACTTTATATTTCATTATTACCCGTAAGCACAAGCGTCAAAGAAAAACTATAATAACATTTCTTTTTTTATTTTTTCAAATATTTTATGTATTTATTTAAATCTTATTTTTTTCTCTAAATATTTATTTTCAAAGTTTTAATATTGATGATCTTACTTGATAATTATTTTTGAATATTTAGAGAAGAAACGTTTATCTCTCGTGCTTTCTCTATTTTGGAGATAGTTTTGCAGAAGCTTTTGAAGCAAAATATTGGTTTAAGATACTCATTTTCTCTTATTTGGAAAAGTTGTTGAAGAGCAGTAGCTCTAACAAATTATGGGAGCATTTATTAATCGTGTTTAATGAACTAACTAAAAGTGTCTCTAACAAATTCTTTAAAATAGAAAATGATGTTTTTGTTCCAACAGATTCTTTACATCGTTTATAAAATAAAGTAAATTTGAAAATGCTCTAAGTTTAAAAAATTCTCTAAGGGGCCGTTTATCAAACACTTACCCAGTAAATGCTTACCGGTAAAATTTAACACTATTATTTACTTACCGGGCAAGATTTTAATCAATCAAAACGACATTGTATGCAACAATTCACCCGGTAAGCGCTTACCATGGTAAGAGTCGTCGCATTCACTTACCGGGTAAGACCCATGATCTTTGTCTCGCTCCGGTGAGGTAATGTGACTTGGTAAGCGCTTACCCTGTTATCCGGATAGATGTTCGTTAAACGGCCTCTAAGACTTGATTTATGAAGACTGAAATTGATTTTTTATTTATTCTCGCCAATGAGATTAAATTATTATTATTTTATATACAAAAAATTAAAAGTATATTGGGTTGATAATTTATAAATATTTTAATAATATAAGTAATGTTAAAATCTTTAAAATAGAGAATATGTTGACGTTGAATAAGGTAATGTGACTTGGTAAGCATTTACCCGAGTAAGCATTTGGTAAACGGCCCCTTAGAAATAACTTTTTAAAAAAAGCCAACTTATAGTTGATCAACCAATTTTTTTTAATAAACTCAAATAAAGCTAGATTATGATTTAACTGTTTGGACCTTTGCAGATTTTCCCGAGAGTTCACTGCAGGGATTTTTCTAGCCATTCTCTAGGACTCCTGGGATTAGTCGAGGTGTAAGCAAGCCAGCCCGGACAACCAAGGTTAGCGACGGTGTATACAGCGTGTGTGTGTGTGTGTGTGTACTGGAAAGGGGGCCAGTTGACAAAGTTGTAGAAATGCAGTACTGGAAATTAAAAGCCATTTGAAAGACATGACAAACATTTCATCCATCAGTTGCAGACTGTAGAAAACAAATGAGTATCATTACACTTTCAGACCTTATGTAAATATATTGCATTCACTCTCTCTCAACATTTAAAGATCCTTCAGATTCACAAGTTACCATCACCATTTACCATTCACCATTCACCATTCAATTATATCATATCTTCCATCACTTCTTTTAATTGGGATTTCCATGCTTTTGCATTGCTCTACAATTCAATTCAATTAAAGTTAAAGAGCAGAAACTGCACATTGATGCAAAATATGAGATAACCCTACTGCTGCTACAAAGATTAATTGATTGTACCATGAGATCCAATTTTAATGCAATATTATGACATCTTGGCAGTAGTTCTTGTAAAGTGAAAATGGTTTGCATATATTATATGCAGAACCCCATCAGATTACTACTCAAAAGAGCCCTTAAAGTAAAGAAATATATGGGTAGATGGACATTATATCCATAGGTGAAGGATCGTGTGAGAAGGATAGTTGAGGTGAGAAGCGTAAGAAGGGATCTCGACCCTTATCACCTATAATCTCAAACCCACCCATGAATCACTATTGCACATCTTAACTTTCCTTCTCACGGGAACCCATCCCTATATATATATATATATATATACCTGTTGCTTGACTCAAGATATGGTTTTCTTGATCAAGGTGGCTACATGACGAGCCACCCATATAGAACCAGCCACGGTGCAGCAAAAGGAATGGGTGTGCCCCTCTTTTTCGACTTCCACCACAACATCTGGCACCTGCTTCACTATCTGAGATAAAAAGAAAAAGTATGAACTTTTTCTCAGAAGTAGAAAACTAAATGTGAATTAGAAAGATGGTTCAAGGATTCAGTTAGGGTCATTTATCATTTTGATGTAAATGTAGATCTTGTTTACTTTATGAAAAATTAAAACGGGCCCTACAAAATGGGAAAACAAAACGATCCCACTTCCCAGTATATCTCACTTGAAAGTAAGATCTGCTTGTCCTCTACCATCAGCTTGTGCAAAAGTAAAACAAATATTTGAAATAGAAAATAACGTTTTACCTCATCATGCATGTGCAATGGAGCCCAGTGATCGTCATCACCATACAAGAATGCAATCTGATTTCGTTTTTCTCTCATGAATTCCCAATCTGGTACCTTTACAAGCTATACAAAAGATTATGGTAAGAGTACAAGAACCCGGTGCAGTTCGTCTTTTTCTACACTCCATTTTACTACTTCGGTGTAATAGATTAACTTCAATAACTGACACGAAATTGTGGTAGATTTTAACATTTCGGTGGGTATCCATCAAACCGTAAATGTTAAAAGCTTGTCTTGCACAAAACTTAGGGGCCAGTAATCCAAATATATGATATTATAGAACAAAATGGTAGTTTTCTTTCGTGTGAAAAAGATTATATATACCTCTTCAAACTCGGTCATGGCCATATATAGCACATTGCGCATCGTGTGATACTGAAAGAAGATAAATAATATTTGATGTAAGAACATATATATCTCCATTAAGAAATATATCATAAATAAAAATTCCAACTTCAAAAAATGAAGTCAGAAAGGACCAAATGGACCACTTCAACAAGGAGACCATATAGGTCCCATACTGACACGATAATTGAAATTTGAATGAATAATCATAAGTGTTTGGAGATGGTAAATGGTGATTATATATATATATATATATATATATATATATATATATATATATATAGTATATAACCAACCAACCCACACAATTCTTATAATTCTGCGTACATCCTACCAGGACGTTATTTGTGTGTGGGATTTATTGTGTTTGTTTGGTTTAGTTTTTTAAATAAAAAAGAATCCGTAAGCTATCTCTAATCAAATCAATCCACACCAATGTAGCATCAACAATAACAGCCAACACTCGCAACGCCAAATGTGTCCACATATTTTCACATTTCTGTCAAATAAATTAGTTTCACCTTAAGAAGACTTGTACAAAGAGCATCAAGAGCCGTTGTAGACCACGTCTTTGCCAATGAGATTTTTGCGATAAATCTTGATCCCGAAATTGGCAGCAACCCCAACAATGCCACGGTAGCACTGATCAGACTAGATATAAGTTGGGACCTGCTAAATAAAAGAGTGTATAAAATCAAGATTGCTAAGTAAAGAAAAAAAACCAAAGACGATCGAGATGCTTGCGAGTAAAGAGCAAAAACTTTGATATCAAAGATTTTATAGACAATTATGTGGTTTCAAAGTATATCCAAGATAAGGATCATTAACCTTAGCACCTAATGATGGTTTGATGGTAATGTGTCATCATGGTATCGATGGTTTTACCTTGCAATTTTCTTTATAATGGCCTGTTTATGCGACTCTGCGTCCACTGCCAAAAATGGATAGAGGCCAATAAAATATGCAACCTGTTGTATCAGACTTAACCATCAGGGGACAGTTTAAAAGAGGTATCATATCATACAATATATATATATATATATATATCGCTTTCAGAAATCAATAGGGGGTAAGAAGGAAAAAACATGAAAAAAGAACTTGAGGTTTCTTGTAATCACCTTCTCAGGAATTCGTTTAATTATTTCCAAAGACATAAATGACCCAATCGAGTGGCTCACCTGTGACAAGATATGATGAATCAGCCTCAGATATTTGATGCAAGAAGCGAGGTTCACTTACAATTAAACATAAGTAGAATAAGGAAATCCACGATATCATTCTTTACATTGCGAGTTTAGGCCATATATATGAAGAAAAAAAGAATCATAAAACACACCACTACAAGAGGGACTTCAAGTGCTTGCAGTTCCTGTTGGATGAAATCGATCTGAAAACAGGGAATATCATATTTATCTGAAATGCGCCAAAATATACGATCTTTATGGCTTTTCCTGCTTTAAAGAGAGATTGGTCCTCAGAAAAGCACGTTTCTTGAATATAATACATGTTTGTTGCTGTTTAAGTTGGTGGTCTTCTAAATTAAAGATCATGAAATATTACCTTATGATCAATTTGTTCTTTTAGTGTGAACAACTTCCTGTGCTCCCAATCCTAAAAAAGTACAAATAAACTTCACATAATTGTCGCAGCTCATGCAATTTAACTGTAAAATGAAATAGCAACATGGCTGTGATAACAGAGAACTAGTCTAAAGTAGACCCGAAAGGTTTCACACCATAATCCAATCAGATGCCATAAGGCTTGAAGAAAAATTATCCAAAAGATATTAAAAGGGTGAAATATTATTAGTGAGAGATGATGAAATATCTTATGCTCACTATTAGATTCGGAATCATGATCATTGGCTCCTTTTCACTGCTCCATTTTTAAGGACTTCATCATTGATCAAGATTCTTGGAAATGAAACACCTAAATACATCAAACTAGAAGACTATCTATGTATCTAGTGGGAATCATTGTGGCTCCAATATGAAGTTTGTTTGAGAAAACCAGATATCTCATGAAATATGATCTGCGATTAAGATAAAGTTTTTAATGTTTTATGTAGGTTTGCTAGGATCTGTGAGCAAAATTCTAAAATGGGAAAATGGTTACAATTTGCACAAGGAAAAAAAAACAAGAGTAAGTTCACCATTTAACGATTCAAAAGATCATAATATTAAAATTTTCTTCATCATCATAGTTGGAGCACAAGGCAATTTATCAGATTTCTGCATATGCTATTGAAAACAATATCTTTTAGCTAAAAATAGAATCTGTCCAAAAAAACAAGATTCAACATTCAAAGTACATGGTTTAACAGAATGGTTTTAGCTTCTGATCAAATATCTAAAATACTCCCCAATAATGACAATTCAAGGGGGAGACTTGTGGGCCAAATTCCATTATATCAAAATTTTATTACACTTACAAATGGGCATAATTAGCTTTAAATTTTGCCCAAAAGGGAAACATTCCAAAGAAGAAAACTGTTCTTAGGGCTGAGGGACTATTTGTTTTCATTTAGAAGATAAGCATTGCCACTTCATAATAGCTTTTGTCAAATTTCTTAATTGATTAAGCACATTCATCCTCACAGGCCTTACAAAAACTATCTAACTCGTAAAATAAAGAACACCATATAGTAAAATAAATTTTGACATTTAGAAAAATGTTGAAGCTCCTCAAAACAACTCATATTCCTTTAAATATGCATGCTTACCTCATATTTCCTGTTGCTTAGTTTGGTCAAAGAATTCATAGTGAATATATAAAGCATGTTATTTTGCTTGGAAAGGGTTGTGGCTTAGTGGTTGAAGTCCTAGCGGATGTGGTGGAATATCCCATCTGCCCAGGTTCGATTCCAGACGTACAAATTGTGGCCACTTTGTTTATCAGGGTTGATTTATTGCAGTCACAATTTGCCAGGATTAGTCCAGGCATAGCCTGGGACACCCCTCCAAAAAAAAGAATGTGACAATCTGACCATACATATGTGGTGCATACATTACAAACGCCAGAAATCGAAAAGGATCACTGGCATTGGATAAACTAATAGCTCATAAAACTATGAAGAATACCTTTTCCGAGTGTGATATATGCCCAATTCCTGATCATGAACATAAAAACCATACACAAATTACAAGTTGATCTTTAGAATCCGAAAAAAGATTGAAGTTTAAAGAAAGGAGCAGCCAGTCATTACCTGTTATTGAAGCAGTCTCTCCCAATTGCTCATAGAGTGACTCCAAAAAATCAATGTAAAATGTAACAACTCCTGTAACAACAGCTATATTACTGACCAAATTAGGAAATCAAAATTCAAACTAAATATTCCCTCCATTCCAAGAAAGGAACTACACTTTTCATATAAACCCTTTCTTGAAATGCAAAATTGAAAGGGGGATCATATCAAATTTAATACCAGCATTGCTCTATTTGAAAAAATTTCTGCAAATTCGATGGTAACAATTTTGAGGGTGAAAACAAGCTTGATGTTAAAAAGAGTACCTGGATTTCCAGGAATAAATAGAACATGCAATCTGGGATTTCTGGCATGAATCTCCACCAATTCCGTCTTCCTACTGTCCTACCGAAACGTAATAATTTTGAAATTGATCATAGGATGCAATCACTTAAACAAATGCATATAGATTGTATACGAATACACAGAGAGAGAGAGAAGTGAAATCAAATACCCAGAAACATTGCACAATCTGAAATTAGCAATACCATTCGATTTCTGGGAAATCAATTGTGATTTCTCGTGACTCATTTGAGAAATTGTAGGAATTACAGTGCTGTAACGGCTGTGATCAAAATAGAGTGTGCCATTATCAGTTTGGTGATCAAAATCAGTTTGTGCAAATTACATAAGAATCAAAATGAGGGAAAACTAGTTGTGGTTGTAGTTGAGTTAAATTGGGAAGTACCTGAAACGAAATGGTGGAGGGAAAGAGAGAATTCGAAGAGATGATGATAGCAACGGCAACGGAAGATGAATGAACATGGAGCTCAACTGAGGCGGAAAAACCCAGGTTCTCCCTAACTACGTAAGCAAACCGACCGTGCTTATCATACTTGTACAGTAAGGTACAACTACAACTTTTTTATTTCTGTATATTATTGTTTTGATATTCGGAATTTCGCACACCATATTTTTCAAATATCTCTAAAAATAAAATACATTTAAACTCGAAATAATCTATTTTAAAGATCATAATATTAATTATATTATTTAAATAATTCAAAATTTTCTATTTGTGTATAAATATAGCAAAAAAATTCTCATCGTAAAAAACATGTCTAATCCCTAAAAACTATATTTTTTTCATTTTAAATAATCTGTTAGAGATGTTCTGATGGTGTTTGGGAAGTGGATAGTGATTATTAGATTCCATGTGGTTTGTTAAAAATAACATTTTTCGTCTCTGTATTTTCGAAATTACACGATGATCATCTATCGTGGTTTGCAAAAACATCTGGAATTTGTCACTTTCTCTAACGACCGTTAAACTAGGAGCATTTTTAATCATTTTATCAACAACAAAAAAATGTTTCTTGCGGCTTTTGATCGGGTAAAAGACAAAAAAATCGATAAAATGATGAAAATGTTTCTTATTTAACAGTTGTTAGATGGAGGGATTAAATTTAGATGTCTTTACAAATCATGATGGTTATTTTGTAATTTTAAAACTATAAAAACGAAAAGTATTTTTTAAACTAACCACATGGACCAAATTTATAGTTTACTGTTAGATTTTTGAAGATGTGGACAGGTTCGTTGTCTCCATCTATTTGGTCTAGCAAGGTTGTTTTAACGTTGACCTAACACAACCACTTTTTACTAAATTTATAACTAAAAGGTTGTTTATCAAATGCTTATTCGGGTAAGTGTTTATCAAGTCATATTATCTTACTAGATGAATATGACAAGAATCAAAAAATTTACCCGGTAAGAGAACACCAGGGGCCGTTTATCAAACACTTACCCGGTAAGTGCTTACCGGTAAAATTTAACATTACAATTTACTTACCGGGTATGATTTTAGTCCACCAAAACGACATCGTATGCAACAATTTTACCCGGTAAGCATTTACCTGGTAAGAGTTATCGCCCTCACTTACCGGGAAAGACTCTTGGTTCTTGTCTTCCTCTTAGCAGATAAGATTAATGGTCTTTACTATATTCATCCGATAAGGTAATGTGACTTAGCGCTTATCCGGGTAAGGGTTTGGTAAACGGCCTCCTAGAGTCTTTACTCAGTAAGTGATGGCGATCACTCTTACCACGATTAGTGCTTACCAGGTAAATTATTGCATACGATGTCGTTTTGATAGACTAAAATCTTACCCGATTAATAAACGATATCATTGAGTTTTACCGTTAAACACTTACCTGGTAAGTGTTTAAATAAACTTTCCCTAATTAATTAAATAAAACTGAAAATTAAATATTAAAAATACAATTTAGTAAAAACAATAATCTCATAAATTAAATCAAGCGCCAGGAACATTTTAGTAACGTCGATATCCACCGTTGATAATAGCATATACTTATTTGACCAATATGTAACGTAACAGCAAAGAAACTCTAACCATTAATTAAATAAAACTATTTTCAATAAAATATTAATGGTGATTATCCACTTCATTCTCTAATTTAATTAACACCTTTAGAACCTAAATACGTGTGCAAATGTTAATTTTTTTTGAAATATTTTATTAAAATAAAAGTATCATATTAATTTAAAGGAAATTTTTAATATTTTGTCTTTGACAAATTTAAGTAATTATAGTTTTAAGGTTGGAGGTTATCAGAAATACGTGTGTTTGATTCTTTAACAGTATTAAAAAGTGTTGTGCGCTTCAAGGGTGATTTATGCGACCTCTTTATCGTGACTTATGTCGAGGCGTCACGCTCTTTCAAGTTCGTGCTTCTGTACATTCTTTCTGTTCGTTTGAGTCTCGAGCCTTTTTTGGTTTACTTGAGATCTTGTTGTTAAGCAGGGATTAATTTTGTTAGCGTTGGGTTTTTTTCTTTTCTTGTATAGGGGTTGTTTACCAAAATTTTTATTAAGTCATGTATGAATAAATTTGTCTAAATATATAAATAGGTGTTGTTGTTTACTTTTTTTTTTATCTAAACAAACAGTGTGAATAACATAAATGACAGATTTATCTCTTAGTATTAATTATTTGAACATCAAAGCAAAAAATCATAAAGAAAATATCCTCCAAGAATTACCAGTATGCTAGAAATTGGTTAGAGTTGGGATTTGTCCAAGAAGTGAGAAGAGCACAGTGATCAAGGAAGAAGAAGAAATCGATACAACCATAATCGACTTTTGAAACGGTTTTTTGTGTCTTAAGCAAAAACAAAGAATCCACTATAATCGAGCTACAACCACTCTTTAATCCCGATGATATAACCCCACATGCCCAAAATTCAATAGTTTTCACAATCGATCTACAAAATCAATGATACACCCAAAATCCAGTAGTTCCCGATATACACCCCATAGAAGAAGAAATCGATGTAGAAAATATTACCGAAAAAGAGGTCACATGATAGAAATCGATCTACAGACTGATTATTTTAAAGAAATTAATGCCTTTACAAAAATCGATCTACAGATCAACGTTGCAGCTTCGGGGTCAATGGTCACCGGAAAGGAGGTTATCGGTTGCCAGAAAAAATGGTTGCCGATCACTTGAAAGGAGGCGACGATGAGGGGTGTCTCGTCTGGAAAGGAAGCGGTGCTTTAAATAAGGGGCAAGGGTGTCATTTTTGTAGCTGAATGGAGACAACACATCATTTCTATCTTTGCAATTAAACCATGTTTTAAGTGAATAAGCCGTAAGTAAACAACCAAAATGAACTGTACGAATAAACCAGATAGATCAATAAGCTTAATTAAGCTGTAAATAAACAGCCCCTTAGTCTTCCCTTACGAATGTCTTGACAATATTTCTGACTTGTGATATTGTTACAGATTTATGTGTTCTTCCCTTTTATTGATATAATATTGAAACAACTTTTTAAAATCTCATAATTGAAGCCTCGTGAATGGTAAATTAAAGTGAATTTCACATGACTCAACCACATTTTTATTCCCTTTTTTCAACCATTTATTAGTTACACATAAAACATAAAGTCAGAAATAATTGAATGATATTCGTAAAAACTATTACTTGTATAATTTGTTTTCAGTTCTAAAATAATATTGTCCATTTATATATATTATTTTATGATGTATCTATACTATATTATAAAGCATTTGGCTAAAACTCTTAAAAACTCTTAAACTCTTAAACCCGTTCATCCCTAAACAATTTCATCCCTATCCGATTTCATCCCTATCCGATTTCATCCCATAACTGAATTCGTGTAACTAACTGCAGATAAACACAATCAAATACAGGATAAACATCTCATTTTAAATATAAAAAATCTAAAATATAATTA